CTGCCCTCTACTGTCTTCCAGAATTCGTTCAAATTAATGTCCATTAAGTCGTTGATGCTATCTAACCATCTTATCCTCTGTTGCCCCCTTCTCCTTTTGCTTTCGATCTTTCCCAGCATCAGGATCTTTTCCAATGAGTCAGCTCTTCATATCAGGTGACCAAAGTATCTGAGCTTCACTTTTAGCATCTGTCTTCAATGAATATTCAGGGTTGATTTCCTTTAGGATTGACTAGTTTGATCTCCTTGTAGTCCAGGGGACTTTCAAGAGTCCAACACCACAATTCAAAAGCATTAATTCTTCTGTGTTCAGGCTTCTTTATGGTCTAACTCTCACATCTGTACATGACTGCTGGAAAAATGATAGCTTTGACTACACGGATCTTTGTCAGCAAAGTGGTGTCTCTGCTTTTTAATACACTCTCTAGGTTTGTCATAGCTTTCCTTCCAAAAAGCAAATATCTTTTAATTTCATGGCTGCAGTCACTGTTTGCAGTGATTTTGGAGTCCAAGAAAATAAAATCTGTCACTGTTTCCACTTTTCCCCATTCTATTTGCCTTGCAGTGATAGGACTGGATGCCAAGATCTTAGTTTTTTTAATGTTGAGTTTTAAGCCATTTTTTTCACTCTCCTCTTTCACTTTCATCAAGAGGCTCGTTAGTTCTTCTTTACTTTCTGCCAAAAGGGTGGTGTCATCTGCGTTTCTGAGGTTATTGATATTTCTCCCTTAAATCTTGATTCCAGCTTGTGCTTCCTCCAGCGTTTCTCATGATGTACTCTGCATATAAGTTAAATAAGCAGGCTGACAATATACAGCTTTGATGTACTGCTTTTCCTATTTGGCACCAGTCTGTTGTTCCATGTCCAGTTCTAACTGTTGCTTCCTGACCTGTTTACAGGTTTCTCAAGAGGCAGGTCAGGAGATCTGGTATGCCCATCTCTTTCAGAATTTTCCACAGTTTATTGTGGTCTACACAGTCAAAAGTTTTGGCATAGTCAATAAAGCAGAAATAGATGTTTTTTTCTGGAACTCTCTTGGTTTTTTGATGATCCAGCAGATGTTGGCACTTTGATTTCTGGTTCCTCTGCCTTTTCTAAAACCAGCTGGAACATCTGGAAGGTCACAGTTCATGTATTGCTGAAGCCTGACTTGGAGAATTTTAAGCATTACTTTACTAGCGTGTGAGATGAGTGTAATCGTGTGGTAGTTTGAGCATTGTTTGGCAGTGCCTTTCTTTGTGATTGGAATGGAAACTGACCTTTTCCAGTCCTGTGGCCATTGCTGAGTTTTCCAAATTTGCCGACATATTGAGTGAAGCACTTTCACAGCGTCATCTTTCAGGATTTGAAATAGCTCAACTGGAATTCCATCACCTCCACTAGCTTTGTTCNTTGGACGGTGAAGAAAGCTGAGCGCCGAAGAATTGATGCTTTTGAACTGTGGTGTTGGAGAAGACCCTTGAGAGTCCCTTGGACTGCAAGGAGATCCAACCAGTCCATCCTAAAGATCAGTCCTGGGTGTTCATTGGAAGGATTGATGCTGAAGCTGAAACTCAAGTACTTTGGCCACCTCATTCGAAGAGTCGACTCATTGGAAAAGACCCTGATGCTGGGAGGGATTGTGGGCAGGAGAAGAAGGGGACGACACAAGATGAGATGGCTGGATGGCATCACTGACTTGATGGACATGAGTTTGAGTAAACTCCAGGAGTTGGTGATGGACAGGGAGGCCTGGCGTGCTGCGATTCATGGGGTCGCAAAGAGTCAGACACGACTGAGCAACTGAACTGAACTGAACTGATGATGAAAAGCACATCACTTTTTTGGTGTTAGTTCTGGAAGGTACTGTAGGTCTTCTTAGAGCCTGTCAACTTCAGCTTCTTTGGCATCAGTGGTTAGGGCATAGACTTGGATTACCGTGATGTTGAATGGCTTGCCTTGGGAACAAACCGAGATCCTTCTGTCATTTTTGAGATTTCACCCAAGTACTGCATTTCAAACTCTTTTTTTATTGACTATGAGGGCTATTCCATTTCTTTTAAGCGATTCTTGCCCACAGTAGTAGATACAATGGTGATCTGAATTAAATTTGACCATTCTCATCTGTTTTAGTTCACTGATTCCAAAGATGTCAGTGTTCATTCTTGCCATCTCCTGCTTGACCATGTCCAGTTTACCTTGATTCATGGACCTAACATTCCAGGTTCCTATGCAATATTGTTCATTCTAGCATCGAACTTTACCTTCTCCACTAGACAGATCCACAACTGAGCATCATTTCCACTTTGGCCCACCTGCTTCATTCTTTCTGGAGCTGTGAGTAATTGCTCTCTGCTCTTCCCCAGTAGCATATTGGACACCTTCCTACCTGGGGGGCTCACCTTCTGGTATCATACCTTCTGCCTTTTCATACTGTCCATGGGGTTCTTGCAGCAAGAATATTGGAGTAGATTGCCATTTGCTCTTCCTGTGGACCACATTTTGTCAGAACTCTCCACTACAACCCGTCCATCCTGGGTCGCCCTGCACAGCGTGGCTCACAGCTTCACTGAATTATGCCAGCTCCTTCACCACGACAAGACTTCTATCCATGCAGGTGCTCCCTTATTGGAATAGGTTAAAGAGAGAATGGGAAGTTAGAAAAGTGAGATGAAATATTACAAAAAATGTGACTATCATCTTTTTGTACAGATACAGAAAGATTTCCGGGATGTGGTGTTCAGTGAAAGGTAGAGATAGTGTGTATACTCTGGCACTACTGCTGTACGGTTCCTTGAGTGTTTTTCTCCAAGTGCTTACAAGATGTCTCCAGCAGTGGGAATCAGCCTTTGAAATTTTTGAAGCATATCAATGTATTCCTTGGTGGCTCAGATGGTAAAAGAATGCCTGTAATGCAGGAAACCCAGGTTTAATCCCTGGGTTGGGAAGATCCCCTCCAGGGATCCTTCTCCAGAAGGGAATGGCAACCTACTTCAGTATCCTTGCCTGGAGAATTCCTTAAACAGAGGATCCTAGCGTGCTGCAGTCCATTCCGTCAGAGTCAGACACAACTGAGCGACTAAGCACATGCACACACACGTGAAAGTATTATTTTTTAAAACGTTATTTTTAAAGAAATGTTGCCGTGATGGGAAGCAGTAAAGTGGCTGAAAGCTGAGTAGTGAAGAGAGGTTGTTTTAAGGATGAGGTGTTAAGCTCTGTGAGGGTAAATTTGTATTCTGACCCAAGAGAAAGAGAAGAATAATGCAGACTAAATGTGCGCTTAGTTGCTCAGTCATGTCCAACTCTTTGCAACCTCATGGACTGCAGCATGCCAGGCTCCTCTGTCCATGGACTTCTCCAGGCTAGGACACTGAAGTGGGTTGCCATTCCCTTCTCTAGGGGATCCTCCCAACTCAGGGATTGAACCCAGGTCTCCTGCATTGCAGACAGATTCTCTACCAACTGAGCCACCAGGGAAGCCCACTAATAGTTCAGAAAAGAGAAGCTAATTGCAGGAGCCAAGTGCCTGAGGGGAGAGAGAAACCTGTCTGGTTAATGAGATGAATTTATTCTTACTGTGATGAGAGAGAGTACCACTTCATAGTCTTAAGTGTCTCAGAGTAGGGAGGGAGAGCCAGGACTTAGGAGGTTTTGGAGACTGGCTTAAGGCAGGTCTTTCAACATAGGGTGGGATGAGGGCTTGATTAGGATTAGATAAGGATTGTCATACAATGGTTTAGGATCTGTGGACACAGAGAAGTGAAAGTGAAGTCGCTCAGCTGTGTCCAACTCTTTGCGACCCCAGGGACTGGAGCCTGCCAGGCTCTTTGGGATTTTCCAGACAAGAATACTGGAGTGGGTTGTCGTTTCCTTCTCCAGGGGATCTTCCCAACCCAGGGATCGAACCCAGATTTCCTGCATTGCAGGCAGATTCCGTACTGTCTGAGCCACCAGGGAAGTGCACTAAAGAGATCTGAAGGAATCATCCCGAACATCTCACTATTTTATTTTTCTGATAAAGACCAAAGCAAGGTCATCAATTAAGAGTAAAGGTGAGGTAAAGTCAACCAATAAAGTACACCTAAGCCATCAAAAGAAAAAGGAGGGGGCAACTCCCTAGTGTTCCAGTGGCTAAAACTCCATGCTCCCAATGCAGAGGCCTCATTTCATCCCCTGGTCAGGGAACTAGATCCCACGTGCTTCAGCTAAGGGTTTGTAAGATCCCAAGGGCCAAAACTAAGGCCCGGAAAATATAGATAATCTAAGAGTGAGGTCTGGTATGCAACCCTGAATATTCACAGAAAGGACTGATGCTGAACTTCGATCCCTGATGTGAAAAGCCAACTCATTGAAAAAGACCCTGATGCTGGGAAAGATTGAGAGCAGAAGAAGGGGGCGACAGAGGATGAGATGGTTAGATGTATCACCAACTCAGTGGGCACGAGTTTGGGCAAACTCTGGGAGATAGTGAAGGACAGGGAATCCTAGCTTGCTGCAGTTTATGGGGTTGCTGGAAGTTGGACATGACTTAGTGACTGAACAACAACAATGCGGTGTGTAGGTCTGAAGAGGGAAGAAAGGGAGAATATTACTGCTTTGAAACATAAACAACAGAAGGTACTTATGGAAGGACAGTATCAATAGGAATATAGTTGGCTGACCTGGCATCCTCCTAGCCTCTCAGCTAGCCTCTTAGCAATCTCTCAGATGTAGCTCACCATTCCCCACAGAACGCATCTTAAAACCATTGTCAACCCCAAAGCAATTTTATAGCCATAGAAGTGAAGTCCCTCAAAATGTCTCTGTATCAACAAAGGTTCTTACTTCTCATTTTAAGACTAACAAGCTGTTGGAAGGGTTGCTTGTTCCAGAGCAGGAGGTATTTGGCCACAGGAGTGAATTAGGTTTCTATAATTTCCAACATAGAGAATCACTCAAAACTCTGAAATTATAATGTTTTTTTGGCTTCTAGTATTCTCAAGGTTTTAAAGATCTTTAGGCCAAGTTTTGTTTTTCAGACTCAGGGCACTGGACACACTTGAGACACTGGGAACTCCTAGAACTATTTGGAAAGAACTTGAGTTTCTTCAGAGTTGGAGTTTGGAGAACCACAGCTTTGGAATTAATGTTTTGACCTTAGTTATCACTCAGGGCAAGGCAGGTGAGTAACAGGGAACAGAGATCCCAGGTATGTTTTAACTGCTTAATACGTTGTGCTTATTAAATTTGGAAAATGAGACAACCAGTAGTTCTAAAGGGTTTATTATGAATGAGAGAGAGAGGCTCAAGCTTTATCATATTAAATGATGAAGACATGCCCAAAACTGGCCTAAAATTGGGGGACAGCTTAAATATTCACAACCAACAAATTCAGTCATGCTATTCAAAAGATAATTGGGGAATTTACAAAACAAATTAACTCAGAGTGCACGAAATGCATGGCATCCAGGAGGATGATACACACTTCAAGTTGTGAGATACAAGTTCTGTTCTCGTCTTATCTGTACCCTATCTGTGTCTCTGGGGGTATATGAGTAATTTCATCTGGAGGTAAGTATAAAATTTTGTCTTCTAAGCCCTGAATGCTTTGGCACTTTCTAGCTCTATTCCAGTGGAGAAGGCAATGGCACCCCACTCCAGTACTCTTGCCTGGAAAATCCCATGGACGGAGGAGCCTGGTGGGCTGCAGTCCATGAGGTCGCTAAGAGTCGGACACGACTGAGCGACTTCACTTTCACTTTTCACTTTCATGCGCTGGAGGAGGAAAAGGCAACCCACTCCAGTGTTCTTGCCTGGAGAATCCCAGGGACGGGGGAGCCTGGTGGGCTGCCGTCTGTGGGGTCACACAGAGTCGGACACGACTGAAGTGACTTAGCAGTAGCAGCAGCTCTATTCCAGAGATGCCTTGGTTATTGCCTGTTGCCAAGAATAAGTCTCCTTTAACTACTATTAAAGAGAAAATAAGAAAATGACACAAAGCAAAAGCAAAGTCACTTAATTCTGCTGGAGTTACAGAACCAAAACCATTCAATTTTTTCTGAATATTTAGAGACTATTTTGGAGTTTGGTATTGAATATTAATCTTATCTTGGTTTGTGTACAAGACTTGAAGCAAATCAATTAGTTTTTTACAGTTTGAGATTCAAGTAAAATAATGTTTTCAGTGACTTACTCACAGATAATACTGACAGTTCAGGACTATGAATGTTGCAGTATCCTTCTGTTCTGAGGATCCTCAGCCCACCATGAGGTACCCTGGGAGTGGATATATTCTGATTTTAAAATGCTTAACATGAAAGTATAGGTATAGACCTTTAAATACACATCTTAGCTTTCATTTAATTGCTTAACATCATTGCTATATTAAAATTTATTCATTTTTCTAAGAATTTATTTTTTTTTAATGTATCTGGTTGTGCCAGGTCCTAGTTGTGGCACGTGAGATCTTTAGTGACGGCAGGCATGCTCTTAGTGGTGGCACGTGGGGTCTAGTTGCCTGACCAGGGATCAAACCTGGGTCCCCTACACTGGGGTCCCAGAGTCTTAACCACTGTATACAAAGTATTAGGTGGACCACTATGGGGGATAATAGAGGTAGTTAAAACAGCATCTAGGGTAAAAGTGTCTGCACTTGAACCAAGATTTTATTTACAGTCCACTCAACACCATGCTCAGTCTTAAACAACTAAATCTATGGTTGTTGTTGTTTTTCAGTTGCTCAGTCGCGTTCAACTCTTTGTGACCCCATGGAGCACAGCACAGGCTTCCCTGTCCTTCACTGTCTCCCAGAGTTTGCTCAAATTCGTGTCCAGTGAGTCAGTGATGCCATCCAACCATCTCATCCTCTGTTGCTCGCTTCTCCCCCTGCCTTCAATCTTTCCCAGCATCAGGGTCTTTTTCAATGAGTGGGCTCTTCACATCAGGTGGCCAAAGTATTGGAGCTTCAGCTTCACCATCGGTCCTTTCAATGAATACTCAGGGTTGATTTCCTTTAGGACCGACTGGTTTGATCTCCTTTCTGTTCAAGGGACTCTCAAGAGTCTTCTCCAGCACCACAGTTCAAAGCGTCAATTCTTCAGCACATAGCCTTCTTTATGATTCAGCTCTCACATCCATACATGACTACTGGAAAAACCACAGCTTTGACTACCCGGACTTTTGTTGGCAAAGTGATATCTCTGCTTTTTAACACACTGTCTAAGTTTGTCATAGCTTTTCTTCCAAGGAACAAGCATATTTTAATTTTATAGCTGCACTCATCATCTGCAGTGATATTGGAGCCCCCAAAAATAAAATCTGCCACTGTTTCCACTTTTTCCCCATATATTTGCAAGAAGCGATGGCACCGGATGCCATGATCTTAGTTTTTTGAATGCTGAGTTTTAAGCCAGCTTTTTCACTCTTCTCTTTCACCGTCACCAAGAAACTTCAGTTCTTCTTCACTTTCTGCCATTAGAGTGCTATCACCTGCATATCTGAGGTTGTTGATATTTATCCCGGCAGTCTTTATTCCAGCTTATGAGTCATCCAACCCAGGATTTTGCATGATGTACTCTGCAGTTTCTCTTTAAAGTTAAAGGCAGTCCTACCTTTTATACATTATAAAGTTGAAAATGAGAGGGACTTCCCTAGAAGTCCAGTGGTTAGAACTCAATATTTCCACTTCAGGGGGCACAGGTTAAATCCCTGGTCAGTTCAGTTCAGTCACTCAGTCATGTCCAACTCTTTGTGACCCCATGGACTGCAGCATGCCAGGCCTCCCTGTCCATCACCAACTCCTGGAGTTTACCCAAACTCATGTCCATTGAGTTGGTGATGCCATCCAACCATCTCATCCTGTATCATCCCCTTCTCCTCCCTCCTTCAATCTTTTCCAGCATCATGGTCTTTTCAAATGAGTCAGTTCTTCACATCAGGTGGCCAAAGTATTGGAGTTTCAGCTTCAACATCAATGAATGTTGAAGTCCTTCCAATGAATATTCAGGACTAATTTCCTTTAGGATGGACTGGTTGGATCTCCCTTGCAGTCCAAGGGACTCTTCAACACCACAGTTCAAGAGCATCAATTCTTCAGTGCTCAGCTTTCTTTATAGTCCAACTCTCACATCCATACATAACTACTGAAATCTCTAGTCAGAGAACTGAAATCCCACATGCCGCACAGGCTGTCCAAAAAAAAAGGAGGGAAAGAAAGGAGGTGGGGGGGAGGGAAGAGTTTTGCATTCCTATTCAGGACAAGAAATGACCCAGCATGATGATGAGTCCTCATACCTGTTAAAGTATTTCTAAAGTAATACAACATTATCACAACTGCCACTTGGCTGACAGTGATTCTAAGATCACCTGATTTCCAAGATGGTAAAATGGGAGACAATACAACAGTAAGCACCCAGGTCCACTGCCCTGCTTAGACAGAGAACAGTTGCCCACATTGTCATGACCCCCTGTCACTCTCCCTCCTTCCCACCTTAGAAGCAGTCCTTGTTCTAAACTTTGAGTTTATCAATTCCTTTGTTTCCTCTTCTGTTTTACCAAAAATGTACCCTAAATCAGGGGTCCTCAACCTCCAGGCCTGGTCCCTAGCCTGTTAGGAATTGGGCAGCAGCAGGCAAGGGCAAGCAGGCGAAGCTTCATCTATATTTAATTGCTTACAGACTCATACCAAAACCCTATCAGTGAGTGGCAAGTGACAATTAAGCTGCATCTGGTGACAGGCTTTGAGTCATAATTTGACACTTAATCTAGTCTGCATGTGGCCCACCCATTATTTTATTTCCCACTTCCATCTGTGCCTCTTTCCCACACTGTGCAATTGTCTCAGTTACCGTTTTTGTAAGCCCAAAAGCTAACCCTCACTAAAATGAGTAAAAAAACGAACATTACTGGAGAGCTTCTTTGAAAAGAGGGAAGGACCCAATGATGAGACAGCATAAGACTCTAGACTGTTAAGAAAAAGAAAGCTGAATTTGAAAGAAAATATCAAAAGTCCTACTTAAATTATGCATTCATTGCAACAGGTGATTCACATCCAGCCTGCTTTGTACAGTATATGGAGAGCAGCTATCCAATGAAGCCATGAAACCTTCAAAACTTCAGTGTCACAGGGATACCCTGCATTAAAAGATAAGCCTTTGGAATTTTTCAAAAGAAGCATGAACACAGAGAACAGAAGCAATTATTGAAGGCCACCACTTTATCAGATGTGTCTGCACTGAGAGCATCGTTCTTAGTGGCTAACCACATTGTTAAAGTGAAGAAACCCTTTACTGTTTGTGAAGAGTTGATCCTGCCTGCTACTAAGGACATTTGTCATGCATTTTTAGGAGAAGCTGCAGTTTAAAAGGTTCCTCTTTCAGCTAGTGCCATAACTAGATGAATTGATGAAATGGCAGAGGATATTGAGGTATAATTGTTAGAGAGGATTAAGGAGTCACTGTAGTATGCAATCCAGGTTGACGACTCTACTGATGTTGACAACAAGGCAACAATGCTTGTTTTAGTGTGATATATTTTTCAGGAGGATATGTTATGTGCATTGTTGTGGCCAACCAACACCACAGATACAGAACTATTCAAGTCTTTGAATGATTGCATGTTAGGAGGACTAAACTGGTCATTTGTTTCAGTATATGCATGGACGGAGTGGTTTCTATGACTGGACGATTTTCTGGTTTTACTACTTGGGTCAAAGGGGTCGCTACTGAATGTGAGTTTATGCAGTGTGTCATTCATAGAAAAATGCTGGTTAGCTAAAAAATGTCTCCTGAACTTAATATTTTTCAGGATGTTGATTAAAATTATCAACCACATTTAAAGTACGTGCCCTTAACTCATGTCTGTTCAACCAGGTCTGTGAGGAGATGGATACAGCACACACATCTTCTCTCTTTCTTAAAATTATTTATTTGTGGCTGCACGGGGTCTTTGTTGCTCATGGGGGCTATTCTTCTTTGCAGTACATGTGCTTCTCATTGCGGTGGCTTCTCTTGTGGAGCACAGGCTCTAGAGCAGAGGTTTCAGTAGTTGTGGCTGTAGTACAGGTTCCTCAGCATGTGGAGTCTTCTCCAGCAAGGGATCAAACCCATGTCCCCTACATTGGCAAGTGGATTCTCAACAACCGGACCACCAGGGAAGTCCTACACACATCCTCTCTTATACGCAGAAGTGAAATGGCTTTCTAAAGGTAGA